TCGTATTTTAATATAAAAATAAAACTTAATTTACATTTAAAAGATCTATAAGTTAAAGGCGCGTTCTCATGATTCAACTTTTGTTGTTCAATTTTAGTTTGACGTTCAAAACGAAACTTCAGTGCAACTTATCAGTCTTTCCTTTCAAGTTGAGAAACATGACTTTAAACGTGTGAACATCCAAGTTGATGCTTCCTGTTTAACTTTTACACTATGCGTGTTGTTTTGTTTATTAAATAGTTAAAAAACCAAAAATGAGTTTCAAGTTAACTTGACGCGTCATGCTAAAATTAGTAGAATTGGTAGATTTATTGTTGCAAAATTAAAACTTTGTCTTTTGCCTCGGATTATCAGGCTATGCTATTATACACTGTCTTGGGTACAAAGTATTTTATGTTAACTGTGATTCAGTTTGCTAAAACTTTTAGAATTTTGTTATAAGTATATGAGTTTGGACTCACTGACTTATATGTGCAAAAAAATACAGATTAAAGGGAAAAAGCTTTTTTAGTTCTATAGTCAAAAAATGGAAATTGCTGGATTTATAATTGCAAAACTAAATTAAGATTTTGCAGCTTGCCTCGGATTACGAGGCAGCATGTGGGCACCTTTGGCACAAATTTGGCTGACATTTATGTCTTTGATGAATTCGTTTCCTAAAACGTCTAGAATTTTATCTTAAGCGGTACTTATTTCGAAATCACGAACTTATATTAAAAACATGCAGATTAGAGAGAAAATGCGTTGGGTTCTATCGCAAAAGAAATGTAAATTCCCGGACTTACTACTGCTGATTAGTAAAGTAAAGTTAAGTCTGTTAGAACCAAGTCTAAGAAAGAAAATCCTACGGTTTTTATTTGATTATTATTTTATTATGATTTAAACTTCTTTCAACGTCAGAACGTTTATTAAAGAAGAAACTTGTTTGTTGATAAACCAAAGCTGTGAGGATTGAGCTGTGAAAAGCAGTTGTCATTTGGGTTTATTATCGGTTTTGCTTATTTCAAAACTGTCAAACGATACGCTAAACAAGCTAATTGTCTATATTTTAACTTAAGTTGAAATTAAGGGTAAGGTCCGAGTCCAAGATTTTAACATGTTTGAGAAAAACGTTTCAGTACGACAGGGCGAATTGCAAAGGCTGCAATTTCGAAATAAAAAATGCTGAGGTGCTCTGTTTCCTTTAAATGGTTCCCTCGGCAATCTCTTCTGTCTGGCGGAGCAGCGGATCCTGTTATTGCACCCAAGAGCCAAAGAAAGAGGGAGAGAGGAGGAAAGGTGCTGCCGAAAGACCGTTCGCTCTCGATCACCTTGAATAACATGCATTTTACGATCGGGAAAGTGTGATAACTAGACGAAAACCGTGATTCTCGTTTGTTGAACCCAATCACGAACTTTTCCCTAGGCACGGATTAATTTTAAGTGTGCGTGAAAGTTTGGAAAAATTTTGTGTATGCTAAAAACCGTACCACGGAAGGGACGAACTATGGAGGATGCCCGTATATCTAAATAAACTAAGTAAATAATAAATAATAATTATGGTAAATTTTTATTGCCTTAACAATCTTTTTAAATATAATAATAAGAAGAAATAAAATGGATTTGAATTCATAAGCAAAATAATTTTAAAAAACCTTAAGTTAAATCAGTTGGCAGATAGATTCACAGAAGAGTTCGAAGTTTTTGGATTATTTCAATTGTTTTAAACTTTGACATTTGAATATAATTTTTTGAAACAAAAACTTCTTTGGTACAAAAACTCGAACTTTTCCGATATTTTGACACAATCGAGATTACCTCAGTTTCGGATAGGACTTGGAGGAACACCTCACAGACAGTGTAGGAACAACTAGCATGGGTATCCTGAAACTTGAACTTGACGCGGCATTACGCTCCTGACGTTGAGGAGCGGAGAGATCGACTTCCGATCGTGAACTGAGCAGAACACATAGTTTTCAGTGAACCCTTTTCACTGCTACCAACATCGGCCTCGCAACGAGAAATATACCGGAGGGGAAAAAACGGAAGATAAATGACGGTGGGAGTGGGCTTCGAGACATGCGAAAGAATATTCCGACAAACACAGCACATTTTCTGGATAATATCAGAGCAAATTCGTTTTATATATTGCAAGCGTCAATACATATTTTTCTACTCAATATACATTGATGAAGTTTACAACTATCATTATACTGGCGAAACATTTAAACTCGCCTTTTAAAAATATTTACATTTAAAATAAGACGAAAAATAAAGTACACAAAAGGCTTTTATCGTCTTTTATAATAAGACTTAATTATAATTTAAATATTAACGTTTTTATAATTTATAATTTTAATACTTAAATATGAATGTTACCTTTCATAATTAAGCATCAACCCAAATTTAATAATCCTTTTAACCTAATTATGCTTTTTGGCCAATGTTTGCTTTTTATTTATTTTTTATTTATACAACAAGACTACGTCAATAAAAAAGATCCACTCACAAATCAACCGAAACGTCACAGATTCACACCAGTTTTAATTATATCAATCAAAGTTACTACACAATATGTTAATCTTCTATTTAAATTGAGAAATCACAAATTTTGATGTATAATTTTAAATATGCGATTTTTTACAAAAATGAGAAGTAGGGAGAGAAAGAAAGAATGAAAGAAAGAGAAACTCTATTGGGTCCAGGTATTTTTTATTACGAACAGGTTCCCTTAAGACAACAACAACAACAACAAATACAAATATATAAAACAGCTCTCTGAGAACAACAGCTCAAAAGAATGACTAAAGCAGAACGATTTAATACCAAATAAATAAAATGAAAGACAAACCAAACTATTTATTTTCTTATATTTTTTAATTTATCTTTATTTATTTAATATTTTTTTACATACAGCATCAATTACAGAACAGATACATGTAAACTCAGTCGCACCTACGCCGATATCAGTAATCAAATTCAATGTAGATAACATACCTATATCATCACATTGCATTCCACACATCAAATATTTTTCACATAGTCTAATTGTCCAACAATTTAGCTTTCCTTTTCCTATTAATCCCGAAAGGATAGTCTGGCCGAACCATTACCAACGTTTTTTCCCTTCGTCGTCTCTTTTCACCTCAAAGAAGCCGACGCCTTATAAAAAAATGTCTTTTCTATACCGACTTCCTTCCCCACCCCTTCAAAATCCAACGTATATAAACACAAAATAGCAAAATCTCACTGGCACTCTCGACACGACACGCAAGAATGGCACAATTACACAGAAAACAAACACTTTGAGTGAGTAGAAATACTTTGATTGAATATAAAAAATATATTTTGCATTGTATAAAATCACTTTTTTCCACATCCTACATGTTTTTGTTAAATTTAAACAATGTTTGTAAATCCCAGGCCCTGAAGATGATCTCAATAAAGATCGAAACGTTGGCACGATAAAGAAAATGTTTTTCTGAAACCTACATATTTTTGTTAAATTTAAACAATGTTTGTAAATCCCAGGCCCTGAAGATGATCTAAATAAAGATCGAAACGTTGGCACGATAAAGAAAATGTTTTTCTGAAACCTACATCACACCAGACCGCATCACACGATTTCTGAATAACTATCGATTAACGGTCACTAATCTCTACACATTTCTGAATAATCTTCGACTGACACATTATTATTAACCCCGTTTATCAAAAATAATGACATTGTGGTTAATAAATACGATTTTTCATTTAAAAATTTAAAATTGGTATACATATATGTAGAATTAAAATCTACATTTATGACTATAATATATTTCAAAATAATCCAAATTTCTTAAAACGAATTGGAAATACAGTTTTGTTCTTTTTTAAGTTAATAATTAATTTGCACATATTTCCATTAGAACAATTTTAATTATGTTAATTTTCAAAAACACCGGCACCACGAGGGTTGATATAACCTTCGCTGATGCGAACCTCGTTTTAAAAAAAATTATGTTAATTACTCCTTTAGATTAAAAAACCATAATTGGATTCGACTGATTACAATTTAGAGAATAATTTATTGGGGGAATTTGGCAGGATCAATAACGACTTACTAAAAAGTTCAATAGATAAAACTTCGTTAATTTTACCTAATATTATTTGTTTCTGCAAAGATATTATCTAATATATTATTATATCAAATAAATGTTATATTACATTGAGTATATAAATATAAATATCTATTGTCTAATATTTTATTGTTTTATGTGTAAACTATTATTTGTAAGAGTACGTACGAAAATTGGCCAATCAAAAAATAAAATTTCTGCCTAAAAAAAAATTCTACTTCTAATTTAATATTTACTAATTTACCAAGTTTCAATATTCATGTTTTCAGAAACTGTACCTTAAGTTTTTATTGTGAATCACAATTTGGGGTCACACAATGATCAATATACATAAAGATTTAAAAATGTCAAAACAATTAGAAGAATGACTACTTTAAACTACCCCTGTATAATCTTTGTCAAAAATGTTCATCCCTTTAAAAAATTTACTATATTTCTCGTGAATTCAGTAAATTTTTCACAAATATCTTTAACATACAGTATATTTCGATAATAACAATGTAATTTGGAATTCAATTTTGTCCCCCTTGACAAATCAAGTGAGCAAAAATACAGATTCGCCTTAATAAAGTCATTTTTTATTGATAAACACAATTTGAAAAAAATCAATTGCACATTAACAGCAAAAAACATGTGTAAAGTTCAAGTTAAAGTCAATTGTTATCTCAAGTACAAATATTTTTCGTAATCAATCACCTTAGTTTATTTGTAAGACATATTCATGGCACTTTACAAACATTCAATACAAAAAAATACTTCACTTACAAGTGAAATGTTTCAAAAAGGAAATCTTACAGGATTTTTGAACCATTTTTTTTTTGGATACAAGGGTGAAAATTTGGTAAGGGTGATTTTGAAGTAGGAGACTTACGAATTGAAAAATTAAGTTCTAAGCAGACTTACCGCCCCTTTTGACCGCGCAGCTTCTCCTTCGACGTTTTTTTAACTGCCTCCAACGAACGGAATAAAGAACAATCGGACTGCTCGGATATTTTACGTGTCAGTAATTTCAGATTCCGCCAGATCCTCTTAGACATGTATTACTCATAGTACTATTGTATTCCACTTCTTGCTACGTTTTGTCAATTGAGGAAAGTCTGGTTTGGGGCATCCGCTCTTTACTCCCTGACGAGAATAACAAACCTTTGTCATTAGTAAAGCTGAAAAAGAAGAAGAAATGGAAAAACAATTGATGATTTAAAAGTTTAAAAACTAATGCAACACAACAAAAACTATACATGTGCTATAATGAAATATTTCAAGCTAACCAAGTTCAGTTTAAAAAAATATAATATAACATGTAAATAGTGCAAATTCTGGTGGATTATATGTATATGTATTGGATTGATAAAAAATGCATTTAAAACTATTTATTCAGCTAAAAACAGAAAATTCAAGTCAGTTTGTTTCGATAACTAATCTGGCCGGAAGAGTTGTGGTAAACTGAAGACAAACGTCCGGCCAACATAAACTGCGCAAAAATAAATAGGGATATTTGTAATTTATTCTAATTCTATTCACTTTAATTAAATTAACCGATATATTCTCGTCAGTTGGATAAACAATAGAAAATACAACTCAAAAACAAAAATTTGTTAATACTCATTTTTAATAACGGATTTAGTTAAAAATAGTAAATATAAAGATTACTCATTTTGTAAACAAACACCTTTTCTCGTCTTTTCACCATTTTAATCACGTTGTATTCTCTTTAACTATGGAAAGACATCATCTTGAACTACTGTGAGAATGAGTCATCGAGGTCACCGGCAAGTGGATATCGCAGTTGGCGTTTCTCAGTGCGTGGTCTTCCGGTTTTTAGCCCGATTCCGAGAGACTGGAAGTCAATAGGAGGCCTGGTAGTGGATAGTAGATCAGCGCACTCCGACGCTAAGGGAGGACCATTGCTGCAGGAACCCTTTTCATAGTGCCCGCCAGATCCTAAATAAAGTACAATATGTTTTGGCAAGGTCTTTATCAACTCAGACGATTCATAATCATTTGTGGGAAGAACTCATCTCGTATGCCCCTTTGAGACGACCTGCAGCAATAGCCCGGCACCAGCAACACAGAATATGGTGCGTAAGCGCCTAGAAGAAAATACCAATTGGGATGCTGTTATGTTTACTGATGAGTCGCGTTTCTGTCTGTGAGTTCCAGTATCTTCTGCTATCACTACACAGACAGAAACGCTAATCTTCAGGAAACATAACAGCACTCCGATTGGTGTTCTCTTCTAGGCGCTCGCTGCACCATATTCTGAGTCGCTGGTGGTGGGTTGTTGCTACAGGTCGTCTCAAAGGGGCATACGAGGTGAGTTCTTCCCACAAATGATTATGAATCGTCTGTGTTGATAAAGACCTTGCCAAAACATATTGTACTTTATTTAGGATCTGGCGGGCACTATGAAAAGGGTTCCGTCTTGCAGCAATAACGATATTTCTGTACTCCCTTAGCGTCGCAATGCGCTGAAGTTCACTACCAGGCCACGATATTCTACTGATATGCTGGGTTGGGCTATTGCTGCAGGTCGTCTCAAAGGGGCGGATTAAAATAGAGAAAAGACTAAAAAAGGTGTTTGTTTACAAAATGAGTAATCTTCATGTTTACTATTCTTCCTCTTCCTATTTACTATTCAGTAAATTCAAATTTTTGTTTGTTTTTGGTTTGTATTTTTTACTTTGCTTTATCCAACTAACAAGACGATATTTGTTAATTTAATTAAAACAACAGAATAAGTATAAATTTCAAATATCACTAATAATTTTTGCGCAGTTTAGTTTGTGAGGTAAGCACGTCCATGCCGAAGAGAGTTTCAGTCACATGTCCAACATGAAAAGTTACCCGAAAGAAACTGGAATTCCATTTCCAAAAAGCCACGTATTTCTTTTACATTTTTACATTTAAGATTAAAACTGGTGAAATGGACCGTTCCGTTCTTAGATTTCTTTAGTAAAGAATTTATTTGGCATTTTCAAATGTCGTGTAATCAAGATTGGATTATCAGCGACTTATGGAGTGGCCACGGGGAGCTGTTTAGTGAAATGATACTTCTTGTACTTATTAAATATTAATCCATTTTGGTGGTCAATTGACTAAGTTACTTCTTTCAATTATTCTTTTTATGTAAGGTCTTGGTTGAGATACATATCCAACCATGGTTACACGAAAATGGCAAAAAGAGGGAAAATTCGAACTGTTGTAGGTTGAGAAGGAGAGTTGGTGTCCGAGAGGATCGAACTCACGATATCTCAAGTGGTAGAGCAGCGGCGTATTTAACCGAAGGTCGTGGGTTCAAATCCCTCTCGTGACACTGACTTTTTTATCTCAACCAAGACCTTACATAAAAAGAATAATTAATTGAAAGAAATAAGTTGGTCAATTGACCACTAAAATGTTAATGGACTTATAAAACTGTTAAATCATTAGATAATATTAATAATAATTGCATATATGTTTTTATTAGGATTGCTCAATTTTGGCAAGTTGCGGCAATAAGACGGTATCGACGTTACATTGCAGACAAGTTCAAAAATGTTAAATTGTCTGAGGAAATGGCTATTTTACATGCGATGACATTACCAGGAAAGCTGTGAGAATCATCATGCTATTTTATTCTTCTGCAACCACTGGCAGGCCGTTTTTCATTCGCAACATCCAATAAAATTAATTCGTAACGTCTATACTGTTAAATTATTAAGTCAACATTTTGGGGAAATTTCCATTCCACCACGTTACATTTTTAACTTGGTAATCATTCGGCTTTTCTCGTTTTTCCTGGCGAAAAAGAACTTTGTTATCTTTCTAACAATTCGACCGGCAACTTATTATCCAGACACAGCAGATAAAACAAATTTTAAAAATGAATTTATATTGTCCACCTGTCTTCTTTCCGCAGAGCTATCCTTGTGATAAATCGACACTAGTTTATTGTAGCAGCTTTATTAAAAAAAGCAGAATTTTGCTTATTTTTCTATGTTATTTGACAGTATTTTACAAAAATCACTGTAATGTATAATTCATTAGAGTTCGTGGTCCAATTGACCAAATAAGTTTTTTTCCAATTAATTAATCTTTATGTAAGGTATTGGTTAAGATAAAAATGGCAAAAAGGAGGGAAAATTCGAAAGGTGGGGTGAGGTGGGAAGTTGGTGTCCGAGTGAATCAAAGTCACGATAGCTCAAGTGGTAGAGCAGCGACGCATTTAGCCGAAGGTCGTGGGTTCGAATCCCGCTCGTGACACTGACTTTTTATCTCAACCAATACCTTACATATGTACATGTATAATTTAAAATTAAAATACCGGGAACATGGCCAACCAAACTTTCTCTATCTAGTGACACAATCTTTTATTTAATAATACATAAAATGAACTTTAATGGGAATAGGTTTTCTACAACTTCTACAACACTCCCTGACGTTTTAATTATATTCTAGCAAAATAAAATTAAAAAAGGACCAGTAATAAAAGGGGCGATGCGCTTGGGTCGAAGTAAACAACAAATGTTTGATAAGAACTAAATAAGACAGTGTTATTGAAATTGGCTTTTAATCGCAAAATCGTTTGAAGGTTGATATTTTTAACATTTTATTTATTATAGTCGGCAAGGCTTTTAACAATCACATGTTATTGTTTTTGACAGTTGATGATTGTTGCTTTTAAAATATATCGTGTTGATTTCTCTGGCCGTTCGACCGTTCAGGTCCTTGACTTCACACTGAGTCATGGACAATGGAGGATCCATTCACCTTTTTCCTTAATTGTTCAAAAGTTGGAAGCTTTGTTAACCCTGTAGTGAAAGAGTACGATTTTCACTTTTAATTATCAACCTGAATCTTCTTGCTTGTGGGATCTTTGATTGATCATAAACTGCAAATCTTAACTATGTCTAAAGGCAATGTTAACTAGTGACGAAGATCATTTCAAGAACACTTCGGTATCGTAGCAAAATCATCGATTAGACTACTAATTAATAATTATTTATAATTATAAGCACGTTTTGTTATATTAAATTTGATACTGCTTCCTTTTAATGTTGCTCCATGGTATTTCCAAAAATATATAGAGTTAAAAAATAGAGGATTTTACATCAAAGACGAATTCGAAGGATGCTAGTTACCTCTGATGCTGCCCTCTAGAGGTCCCAAACTCAGTAAATTCATTGATAAATAACCCTAAGATGGGCAAACACATTGTTTCAATTAGAGAGTTCTCAGGTGATGGATATGACTATATACCAGTCACTGGCTTCTGAGTAAACCTACACGTCATGGGTGTATTCAATGATAACCTATATATAAATGTTAAACCTATATATGATAACGGTTGTGTAATGACGGGAAAGAAATTCCCACCCATATCATCTTCGAATGCGATGAAAATAGTCCGAGTAAATGGAGACATAACTAAGGTTAAAGGTACCAAGAAGACCAGGGTCATAGACCAGAAGTCAATGACTTAAAAGAACGATCTAGTCAATTGAACTGAACTAAGGAACTAGGAAAAAATCAGTAAGCCCGAAGGCTGCAGTGCTTGGGGCAAAACCCCCGTTCCTATCATCAGACGTCGGTCGTCCTCTTGCGTGCTTCATCAAGCTTAATTTCCTAACTAAAGAACGAAAGCGAGGAGGATAGGAGGCTAAAAAACAGAGTGTGACGACAAAAGGGGTGTAACTTTAAGAAGGAGGTCACTAATGAAATAAACGAGGTCCCAAATATAGTCATATAAAATGGATGAAAATAAATAAGAAACAACATCGAGGGGCTTCACTAAAATCAAATAAAACGATGCACAAATGAAAACTTAAAATAACGGGTTGAAGAACAGCAATCTTTATGAATATGTCCAGATAGATGAAACTAATCATAAATAGCATGTTTGTTGTAATATAGGCAAGTTCTTTCTATTTTCAAAAAATTGTTTTTTTAGTGTCTTCTGGATACTTTGGTTACTTTAACTATTCTAGTTATAGAAAAATTAGTCCGCAGTTGTGATTATTTTTCTTCATATTGCCAATATAACGAATAACGACTTAAAACATTAAAAGGGAGGAAAAGTTGATTTTATTTGCAGAATATCTTCGTTTTCCACTTCTTCTCCTGATAGTGGAATTGTAACCGGACAAGTTTATGGAATATTTTTATTTTTTGGACAATTTTA